CTTTCCCTCCCGAAAACCCCGAACGCCTTTAGCCACGTTAGGTGGGCACGGTGTCCGGCGCACAAGGAGAGCGGCCCTGCTGCAGATTAATCTCACAACAAATCGTCCTGAGCTGGTTCCGTCCAAATCGGATCCATATCGAGCACACGTTTACACAAGCTCCAGTGGGGCAGAGCGCTGTTTCCAGCAGTGCCGTAGGGATTTGGATGGGCCAGGAAGCTGATCCTTGAGGCATCCCACTCGTGTAACCTCCGGATGAATGTAGAGAAAGCCTTCAGAGCTTTCTGCTTAAAACGGGCTTGCGATTCGGAAAATGAGAATTGTCCCTTGGTACATGTGCATCCTATGGCTTCAGAAAGAGGCCTTCAGTATTTTGTTCCCCCAATCATTATACATGTTGCTTCTTACACAATTTTCACGTATACAATGAATTTCTGTGTTGATACAGATACATGCAAGCTACAGCTACAAAATATTGGTTATTTAAATATTGACTTGTTTTGGGGGTTTGCCTGCGTGCCTTAGCATCCTCTTTTGCTCATCATCTGCGCTCAGCACTGTATTACCCCTCTTATCTAACTGACCTATTTTAGGGAAAAAAAATCAAGGTGACCTTGTTTTTTTATTGTTATTATATTTTTGTAGGACCAAGGAGCCCTAGTCTAAGAATTGCTGTGCAAAGGCTTCACAAATAATAAAAAGACGATTCCCTGCTCCCAAGGCCTGAGTGTTCCGGCTGGATGTTGCAGGAAGATCAACTGAAATGCATATGCAAAAATATAGTTATATGGCTGTACTGTTGAGTTTCAGAAGCGGTTTAGTCATTTTTGTGATGGAAAGGAGGCGAGTGAAGTGCATATTCCACTGCCACAGAAGCACTTTGGCTCTAAGGTTAATCTGAACCAAATAATAACGAAAATTGCTAAGCAGCAGTATCCATGATACTAATCTTTTGTCCTGCCCTGATCAACCTCTGCCAGCCCTGTGTCCTACTTCTGTCCCCACGCTCCTCCCCACTGTTGGGGCAGTGCTGCCATTCGCTGCTGCTGCTTTGGAGGTTGAGGGAGAACATACTGCTTTTTCATCTGCCCATTGTGTGGCATCCTCATGGAGCGTGAAAGCAGAAATGCTGTGACTGTAGAGATCTCTGGCTCTAGGACAGAGGCAAGCCCAGGTCTCGAAAGACCAGCACTAATCTGTTAAAATGAGGCCAAGCGAAGTCGGATCCTTTACTAGAACCAGAATGGGGCGTTGAGTGCATGTTTCTGTCTGCCATAAGGATATCCTGGGTACTGGGCTAGCAGGAAGAGCACCACTTCTTCCAGTGGTATCTTGCCAAGACCCAATTTATTTAGTCCACTCTGAGGCTGGGGGTATCACATCATGTTTCCTTAGACAGCAGAGCTTACCCCGCCTAAGGGGATTCCATCCTGGCTGTTTGCACACTCTCCTCTATGACTACGTAACAATAATAAACCAGGTCAATGAACTAAATATAGCCCAGCAAAAGTAAAATTTCATGTTGTAGCTGAACCAATCTGACAGCTCTTCGGTAAGATCCAATTTCCCTTTTCCTTCTGTGTACACCTTGGCACCTGCTTTATACCAGCTCTGAGCCTCATCAGTCTCTGGCTTCACTCATCTTGTCTAACCAGCAGAAAAAGTAGAGAGAAAAAGGAAGGGAAAAGTTGCATGGACTCTGAGAAGATGTATATCTCCAAAGGGGGATGGAGGAGTGGGAAACCAGAGGATGAGGACAAAGGGCCAGAGAGAGAGTGAGCTGCTAAGTGAGATCTGCTGCTAAATGAGATGCAAATTCTTTTTTTTTTTTAAATAAGTCACCCATTTCAGGACGGTCAACCCAAAATGTGTCTGCTCTGCAATAGTATTTTCTCTTAGGTTTTTCTTACTTGATCTGTATTCAGGAGCTATGGATGAGCTTTGCTTATGGTGCTCCTTCTTGTAATTGCTTGCTAAGAATAATTCTGGAACTTAAATTATTGAAAGGGCACATTCCTAAATTTGTGGGTACAGAACACACCACCTCTTCACCTGCCTGTCCGTCAGAGGGAGAGACCCATTTGCTTTGTGCATACACATTTATTTGCAGCCACCTGGGAGCTAAGCACAGCCAAGGTCCACAGGAGAGCAGGATGCTCTCTCGGTGAGACAGTGTCTCAAGGTGTATTAGCACTGTTAGAAACCAGACCATCAGTCTATAAGAAAGCAGGTGTTCAGAGAGGCATTGCCTTTAGCTGAATAAGCCATGAGGACTGGGATTTGCTGAAAAGCTCCAAGACTCTCAGTACGAACAATAGGATGCACCCTGAGCAGGGGGAGTTGCCTCACAACTGTTACAAGGGGCGCATTGCTGTAAACATCACCATGCAAGGCTTTGACCTTGTGATATTTGCAAAGACCAGTGAGTTCTCAGTTTTGGAAATGTCTCATTCTAGGACTATTTTAAAGGTTATCTAAAACTCCCCAAATTCTGCCTCTCTAGAGCTCTTCAGGCCTCTAAATGAGACAGGCACAAGCCAAGGGGATGAAGCTGTCTTGTCTGCAATTGATACTCAAAAGCAAGGGGATAGCAAAGCGCCCATCAGGCAGGAAGCAGCGACCAGCAGTGCCGAGGTGGCCCCAGCAGTGGCATTTCCACACACAGCAAACCTGTATGTGGCCCAAGGATGAAAATAAATACTGGGTGACCCTGGTACTAGTATTTTCCTTAGGGAGGGAAAGGAAAAGAATAGCATAAATCCAAGGGACAGTAAGTTAGGTGTTCTTGAACTGTACATATTTGACAGAAGTATCTGATTGATAAAGATAGTCCATGAGCTCTCCAGTTACATCACAAGGATTTATTCCCCTTATGAGCAATGCACTCAACTCTGGCCATGCACCAACGCATAGTTATTGTGTTTATCTCCTTTTTCCTCTTTTTTTTTAATCCGTATTTTTACACCCTGTTACCCTATTTTATTTTGTTTTGATTTGAGCAGCTAAACTCTTGAGGACAAAGATGTTGTTTTTTCTGAGTTTACAGAGTTTAAGTAGAATGAGAAGCTGATCCTGTGCAAATGAAGAAACTGCTGCTGCTGCATTATTGCAACACAGATCTTTGAAGAACAGATTGTTTATAGATATTTACCTGCAAAGATTTCTAATGTCAGTAGAGGGTGCTACATACATACTTTTAGGAACACTTTTTGCCTGAGAATGAGTCGCTTACCCCAACAGGAACATGTTTCATTTGTGTTTGAGAGCCATCAGCATTAAATGAGTATCATAGCCTTGGAAACCTGAAAATCATGCAGTTTAACAAATGTTTGGCTTTTATTTGGAATCACTGCAGAGACCTAAAGACCTGCCACTCTTTGGCATGGTGCCATATAATACTACTTGCAAGATTTGGTGAACGCAAGGGCTTGATGTATGCACGTGCTGTAGTTCTGCGGTTTTCTTTAGCTAACTGACACATTAAGCTATTCTTATTTTCCTCACCTCTCTTGATTTCTCTCACTAAACTTAACTGCCAGACAACTTCATATATTGTTCATGTGGAGCCCCGATACATCTTGCAAAGAAACCATGGACATCTGGACCAGCTTCCGGTTATCTCAAAGACAGATTGATGCCTCTTTCATTCCCCCTCACTTTTTTTTTTCTTCCCACTCCTTTACTCCCTCACATACTTCATTTAGATTTTCCCTACTTCCGCTAACTGAAAGTATCATTAAAGCTATATTGCAAGGGTCTCTTGTGTCACAGTGGAAAATTACATCTTAAAAAGGTGACTCAATAATATTTACATTTTATTTCTAAGAAAAGCTAGAGCTTTTAAATATTAGATTTTATTAAAAGTGAAGGAGAAAAAAAGGCTTCAAAATCTTACTATAAAGCAGGTCTCAAAAAAACTCCACTCTGTTTCAGTGGAGTTTTTTTATTCACCATAGAAATAGATACTTTCTAGTAAAAAATAACCTCAAACTGATCTTTCTATGGGAAAAAAAAAAGAGTATGAGACCTGTAGGATTAGAGGAACAGAGAGAAAACATTACATATAATATTCAAGAGAAGAAAGGAAAATACAGCTTAGTACAGGAAGTGCCTAATAACTTCTAGCCGCTCTGAAGAACAATAATTTCCATCAGAAAAAGATCTGCTTCTCGCTGTGCAACAGAGTTCAGTGAATTCCAGAGCATAATGGGGCCACATGCAAATAACAGGGATGTGTGGGTTTCTGCTCAGGCTGCGGGGATCCTGAAAGGCTCACTGCGCAGTTTTAACATCCTGGCCTCTTTACGCCAGATGCTGCATATATGTATGCATATACATAGTAGTGCGATTCAGTACTCTTTTCCCCTGGAAAGAATCTGATTTTTTTTTCTTTTAAAAATTAATATGCATGGGCATTGGAGAAATATTCTTTCTTTGTACTTGTCTGTCATGAAGGACTTAACTGCCTGCACACACCTGCGTTCATGAGGCAAGTTGCACTACCAAAAGGCTCATTTTCCACAAGTGCATGAACTGATATTAAGAAGCTGTATAGGAAAGAATATATTATCCAGTAAACAGAGGTAAAAATCTCTTATCCTGAACACCAAAGTCCTCAGAAGGCCTTTCTCTGCTTTGATTGCACTAACATAATCATCACTTTCTTACAGCAGATTGTGTGCAATTACTACTGTATGCAAACACTTTATTTCAAGTGATTGCACAGTCGGCCTCTATCTCCCACAGAAGATGCCGGGGTCTGTGTCCCATATGGGGCTGTCTAGGAGTCATCATATAGAGGCTCTTTCCTTCCCTGGGGCAGAGGGGTGTGCAGAAATGTCTACAAATACAATCAGAGGGAGTAGTATTTCAGCTGCCTAACCTGGAATTAAAGTGTTTGAACTCAGCTCCTTTCCTAAACTCCAGGGGCACTTTTTTTTTTTTTTTTTTCCTTTATGCCTTTTCAAACACCACCAAAACCTGGAGCACTTTAGAAAATATTCAGAAGGACTCATTCAGCTCACTCTTCCCAAATCTGGCAATGTCTTTATGAGAAAGCCAGAATCTCTGACCCCACTTTGGGGCACGCTAATGGTTTTAACTTGCTCCTAGTTCTGGCACCAAAAATCTAAATTCTTTAGGACAGTCACTGTTCTACTTAAAGCTTAAACAAACATTTGGTGGAAGATACAGAAAAAAGGGTTTTGTTGACATCACAACTGAAATGAGAAGGATTTTATTCCCATGTCGCATGCCAGGTTTTTCATTTCAGAGCTGCTTGTTTTAATCCCAGGGGCGTGGAGGGCAATGTGACTGCTTTGGGGCATCAGCCTCACAGGAAAGAGCCTTAAATCTATCAGTCAGTAGCTGCTATGACAGAAGCATTATGAGAGACTTCTCCTAGGTGTTTTAATCACTCTTTTCGCATCCAATGTGGATAGGTTTGAAGTAAAAAATAGAAGTCCATTCATAGTAGTGCTTTCATCAGGGCTAGCGCTCATGATATTTGTCAGGGTTAGGGACTCGTAAGAGTTTCAGAAAAAAACAGAACAACAAAAAGGCCTCTCTGTATAAATAAGGCCTTGTTGAAGCAAGCCTGACCGAGAGGGATAAAAAGCAGATTTGCTAAAACTGACCTTGCGCACGTCATTCCGCAGAGGCCGACTGCCTCAGCAGGGCAGCACCAGGCTGCCTAGACAAAGCAGCGCTTGTCATGTCCTGTCATGGGCACAATAATGGATATCAGGAAGGACCTCACAATGCCGCCTCTCCCACCACAATCGATTGAGTGACGCTTTCTGCCTAATTCAGTGTATACCTATTCATGGTAAAGAAAAATCATCCTTTTTTGTCTTTTTATCCCAATTTTCTTATTTCCTTTTCTCCTTACATTTTTGTTTGCTTTTCAGGATTTTTTTTCCTTTATATATATATAAATATATATATATATGCATATAGTATTTTTCCTTCCTAATCTCTCATTCTGCTGATCACTTTCTTTTGCTCTGTTAGGCCCTCTCTTCCCATTCCTCATCCTTTTTTCAGTTTTGCCTGAGAGCAATTGCCTATTCTCTTCAACTCATCACAAAATGCCATGTTTCCCCTCCCTCCCAAGGCTTCAAGTCCTCTCTGTAATCAGTCCCTCTCAGTAAAATGAGGCATTCTTTAAAGGCCAGGAATGGCTCTTCTAACATTACGTGACTCAAAAGCAGAGCTGCCTCCATCTCCATGTGAAGCTACCATGGCACTTACAGCAGAGCAGCAGCCACCCTGAGCTGCATCCTGTGTTTCACTCACAGTCTAAGGCCTGTTTTCCCAGTGGTCCAAGTAAAATAACCCACACTATATTCAAATGTATTCCTTTCTGTAGGTTATCGTCACAGACAGAGGCTTTAGGACTGATATGAGGATTAGTCAGAAGAAAAATAAGACAGCCTAACATGTGTAACATACACTAAAAATTCACCCGCACAGACACTGACTGGCTAAGCACGCATCTTTGGGCTCGCTCTTCCTGACTTAGCAGCCACGCAGGTACTTGCTGTTTTCAAGCCGTGTCGGGGCAGCTGGTGGCAGAAAGGACGCGGCAGAGGTGCAGCCATGTGGCGTGCTCGGCACGAGGCTCTGCGGCGCCTCGCGGCCCAGCGGCCGGTTCGGGGGGCTCAGGGCTGCGCCGCAGAGGCGGCTCTCATAGCAGCACTGAATAGCTCCTTCCGTAGCGCAGCCAGCAGCACTTCAGCTCCTGCCCACACCTGCAGACCGGGCAGCTCCGTGCGATTCCTCACACCGTCCCTGCTGCTGGGGCTGGAATGGGAGCAGCCCTCGAGCGAGCGGCGCGGGGGTCAGGCCGCTCGCAGGGCAGGGCCCGGCCTCCCGCCGCCACCGCGCATCTCAGCCACAAGGATCGGCAGCTGATCCAGCTTACCTGCTTTCCTGAGGGATCAGTTTCAGATGGATCCCTTGTACCAGCACAACAGGAACATAGGGAGATAACAAGGGATAGGACCACATTTTTCAGCAGCAGTACAGGTTTTAATTGGCTTAAACCACTCAGGAGGCCTCTTGGGGTGTTGCTAACGCATTATTTCAACCTGCACTTGAGCAAAGCTGAGCTGCAGGTGTGTTGCAGCCCAGGTGCCCGCTGTGGGAGCGCCGCGGGGCTCTGCGTTACCCACCGCCACGCTCCTCAGCACGCGCCAGCAGAGCGGCCCTCGGCGGCCCCCAGGTGCCTCCGCAGGGGTCGGTGCCTTCTTGCACAGCGCTTAAACTGCTCTGGCACTGGATGCTCTGGCTGACTGACGAAAGGGATCACCCTGCTCCTTTTCCTACCAAAAAATGGATAGTTTTCCTTTGGATCTGTGACTCATTCCAGCCCTCAGCTGCCTTGCCATGCCTGCTGCCTGTGCAGGGTGCACATTTGGGTGAAGGCAGAGTGCTACTCCCCTGCCTTTTTCCTTGACAACCTGGGGTTAGACCAGCCTGAACCTACTGTGCTGCAGCACTGGGAAGATCGTGACCAGCACGTTCCTGTGGCCTGGCTGTGGAGGGATAAAGAAGGGCTGTTCCCTTGCTTCTCTTTCTGTGCCACAAATACATTACATCCCCAACACTTTACCCTCTGCCCATAGGTGCAGACACACCTCCTGGCAGCATCTGGCTCCTGCACCACAAGGAAAGTGCTGGTGCAGATCTCGCTGTGGGGTTTCAGTGGAGCACACGGCGCTTCCCCGCGAATTCGCTTCTGGCGAATGCGGAGAGAGCCAAGTCAGTTGGACTAGCCCACGCCACCATGGAGCACAAAAGCACTTGTCCATCAGCCTCTCTTTGCCAGCTGAGGGTGATCTTTTTCTTGCAAACTCCCAGCCAACATCACTAAAACAGCACGACTTTATGATGTTGACCAGGACTGGCTATAACCTGGAAGAATGAATCTGGAAGAAATAACAGGTAGCTTTCCGTTAACACTTTATTTAATTGCAATAGTCCCACAGTAAAGGAGAGACTCCTTAATGGTACCAGGAGAGATTATATCATTGTAGGTGGAAATAAGAACTGTAATTTTGTACTTATCACCAAGCAAGTCTTGTGTTGCAATATGGAGGATTGAAGCATTCAGGGCCTGAGGCAAAGACCTGTAATGCATGTGGTCAAAAAAAGAGAGCTGTCGAAGTTCACGAGCAGGTCCTAGATCAGGTCTTGAGAAAAAACTGAACACAGTGAAGGCTGCTTTTTGTTCCAGCTGCTCAGTGTATGTGAGGGGAGGGAGAACTGAGAGCACTGGCACTATGACTTTCCGTTTTTCTTGTTCCACATCTTTCCTTTGGACGTACAGATTTTTGAATCTGAGTGGGTGGATCTGATGATGAGCAGCTGAACCAACGTCACTGAGAATTTTACACATGGCTCAAGGGGATGTTGGGCCACATGGGCAGCTTCGGGGATGGGAGCCAGGCGACGAGCAAGAGCATAGCAAATGCTTCCACTCCTCCCACTGGGAGCAAGGCTTCCTCTCCCAAAGGTGTAAAAGAAGAATTCAAAGCATTAATTTGGGTTTTGGATAGGTCACTTGTGTTATGAAGATTGCTCTGTTCAGATTCGCCCACAACTATCACACTGACTGTGATACTGTAGGGCCAAATCCTGCATCCCCATGGGTGCCAAAATTCTTTCAGCAAAGCCCTATTTGACTGCATGCAAAATGCAGGGGGTTCAGGGTGCTGTCGATGGGCGGCTGAGTTCCCATGGATCTGCGTGAGCCATGTGTGGTTCCTGCCAGCCACACAGCAGGCACTGTGCAAGTTCACAGGAACAGGAGAAAAGGAGTTAATTCAGACCCTCTTCCTTGCAGTTCCTTGCACTTGGTGCGCTTGGATTGTGACAACTTCAGCACTCACATATAAGGACCTGCAAAATGGAGCTACAAGTGAAACAAAGATCCTTAATAACCTTTAATCTTGAGAATTATTTCAGGCAGATTACCCGCATAAGCAAGACAGTCAGGAATGCGCTCTCTTCCACTCAGCTCCTCTGCTAGTACAAATCAATGTTTTTCCATTAAAGTGAATGGAACTTTGCAGATTACGTGAATTTGACATCATTAGGTGCAATTTATTGGCTCTAGTCATCGGATAATACTTTACCATGGGAGCTCTCTTACCTCAGCTTGTTTACACAAAAGCCAAAGGACCCATACAGTTTCACTTCACTACACTTTGCTCTAGTTCCCACCTCCTCAAAAAGACCCTCCTGTTATTTCTTACTTGAGGGGGCAGTTATGACTAAGTGGCTGAATAAGACTTTCAGATCTACCAAACCTGCCGCGCTGCTCCTTTCCCACCATTTAAGGTAATGCTATTCTTGGAATTTGCTCTCTGAAATCTCCCCACCCAGAGAATCAGCACTTGAGGACGAAGGTGGGTACTGGAGAAAACCCCAGTTGTAAGTGCACCAGACTAGAAATTTTAGGTGGAACTTCCCCTTTCACATTTAATGGAAAAAAAATCTCCTTGTTGCTCATTGCTCTTGCTGCCTTTTTTTTTTTTTTTGTACTTCCACATAATCTCCCTAGTGTAGCACTGAAGCCAGAGGAGTTGCAGAGATACACACAGCCAATGGATTCCCCCTCTGGCCTGCACTGACCTTCCTTAGCTCTGGACTCAACAGTTGCCATCCTACCTCCTGGTCGCCTGTAAAATCAGCTCTTCACCCCCAACAGCTAAAATCTTAGCCTGACCATGACTACTTTGTATAGAACATACATGAATTTCAGCTCCGCAAAGCACACTAATATTGCAAGGACAACTAAAATGAGTCAGCACCCCCATGGGACCAGCCGATGGAAAGTACAGCAAAAGGTATCACATTAGTGATTCACTAGATGATGCTCCTCCCTGAGCAAAGATTTGGAACCAGAGCCCTAGCCTACGATGGGGGCTGACTTGTAGATTAACCCTAAGGTGTCCTGGCTGCGTTTGATGTGACTGTGTGTGACACATGTCACCTTTGTGATGAGCTAGGGCAAATAACAGGAGCAAGTGGCGCTCAGTTGGGTTCATTAGGCTCTCTGATAAATCTGCACAACTTCATCAGCTCCAGCACCATCCTAGGATTCCTGCAGCTCTTCAAAACCCTCCTCTCTGGGTCACATCTGGATTGAATCTAAAACCCACACTAACATTTTTTTTAATGGACATTCAGCACCACAGCTGAGCCTGAAGAACTGTCATTAATTGATTTATCCTGGGCAACAAGGCTGACGTGGAGGGCACTACAGCAAGATAACAATGTGCCCCAGAGCTGCAAGCTGCCTGAAAGCACTGAGGCTAATAGAATTTGTGATCGCTGCTCGCAATAAAGATGGTAACTGTTTAACTGCTTTCCTGTTTTCTTTGCTTTTGTGCATCCCTGAGACACTTTTATAATATTCAACAGAATGTTACAAAATCACTTAATTTGTTCCAGCTCTTACACATTTTTATTTTGAATAAAGTACCAAATATCTAGGAAATAATCTACTACTAATAAAATAAAAAATTCCAGTATCCTAAAATTAAATCTTAGATATATTCAAGAAAGAGAATAAGTCATTCAGGCTCAAAGTCCATGCATGTTAGTCTGTACAAAATAAAAATACAGTTTTTAGGACGCATT